AATAGAAGTTTGTTCTTCCCGCTTATGCATATTTTTCTGGCTTGTTCTCTCGCTCGCTTTCTCTAAAACATTCTCGGGGGACACTGGGAACAGAAAGCTTTAGCAGAAGTTTGCTTGGAACAGCGTTCAGTACTCCACGTGAGCTGAACTCGACTGACAAACACTTTTATGGGTCTCTAATGTGGAGCAGGGTCATACACTCCACCCACACACAGGAAAGCTCGGTTAACAGACTATACTCCACACACACAAAGAGCACTTTAAAGATAAGATAAAAACTGAACCTGCTCTTTTTAATCAGTATGTGAACATAAGAATCACAACAGGTGGTAGAGGAAACCAAGACTGCACTGTATATATCCAGGTAGCTAAAGAGACGCCAGGAAACACTTATAGCCACATATGCAAACAAAAACAGCTGCGCATACGCCTGCTTGCTGAAAGCGCCTGGGGCTACTGGGGGCTGAAGTGTCAGGCAGCGTGAGTGTGGAAAAGATCAGATCATCTCCTCATTACTGCAGCTCAACTCCTGACTCAAAGACACATGCTTCCAATGACCCGCAGCCTCAGCTTGTGATCTGCATGGCAGGGGTGCTCACAGAAGTCCTCTGTTACACACACTCTTATCCAGTGTGTCTGCACTGTTTAGATTGAAGCATAGCAGTTATTAATGCAGATTGTGTACAGCAGCTGCTCACACACACACAGGTGACAGAGGGCTTATCGGGTTAGACCAGCCGTGTATATGCTCAGTATCAATGACACCTTAAAATAATGAACATTACATTATTTTACGGAGTAATGAAATGATAGCTTGAAGTTTGTTGGTCAAACCAAATGTTGTTATAAATTAATACATAGAACTTTTTAGTTCCACAGGCTCACATTGCTCAGTCCTTAAATCTTTATTAATGGGATAGTTCACCCAAAAATTTTTTCACTCTGTTGTTGTTCCAAACCTGTATGTTCTGTGGAACACAAAAGATGACATTTGGAAGAACGTGATTATAAAATATATATTTTTTATTCACAGAAGAACGTAAGTCATGCAGGTTTGAAGTTACATAAAAGTGAGTAAATGATAACAGATGTTACATTTCTGGTTGAACTGTCCATTTACCTTCCTTTGTAGGTGCTTTCTCAAGTCCAGTTCAAAGCAGGCTATTAATTGTTCATTTTTAATGACTTAAAATGCTATTATGTAGTTTATTTTAGTGCTGTCAAATGATTAATCGTGATTAATTGCATCCAAAATAAAAGTTTTGTTTACACTGCATATGTGTGTGTAATGTGTATATTTATTATGTACACCCATGCATGTATATTTAAGAAACGTATGTTACGTTTATATATTAAATATACAAACCCAATTCCAAAAAAGTTGGGACACTGTACAAATTGTGAGTAAAAAAGGAATGGAATAATTTACAAATCTCATAAACTTATATTTTATTCACAATAGAATATAGATAACATATCAAATGTTGAAAGTGAGAAACATTTGATATGTGCTCTATGTTGTATTCTGAATAAAATATTGAAATTTGAAACTTCCACATCATTGCATTCTGTTTTTATTCACAATTTGTACAGTGTCCCAACTTTTTTGGAATCGGGTTTGTATTTATATATATTATATAAATTATATTAATATAAATATATACATGTAAATATTTTAAAAAATATACTGTATGCGTGAGTATTTATATATATATATAGTACATAATAAATATACACTGTACACACCGATATATTATGTAAATAAAAACTTTTATTTTGAATCGCAATTAATCATTTGACAGTACTAGTTTATTTAGATGAGATCTACATAATGGAATGACATAAGTCTACATTATTAACCATGCCCCTAAATTCATTATCCATCTCTTGTTGCCTACTCAATTTATATATTTTCTTTCACCATTACAGTTGAATGATGAAACAGACCAAATATTCAGAATCAAAACACAGGTGTAATGTCCAATTATGTTTGTTGTCTTAAAGTAAAATGATACATTGCATTAGCAATGCATTTTACTTCCATAACAGAGGATCAGTACCCTCACAACAAATACAAACTTTTTGGGGTTTCAATTTCATGTTTACTTGAAATCATCTATCCATGCAATCAGATAACCACCTTGGTTTGGGTGTCATAGCCAGATTTCCTCCTCCTAAAACACTGTGTTTGAGTAAGTACGCATGTGAAAATAAGAAGCCTCAGATACTATGCTCCAACAGCTTTAAAGTTGGAGTTTGAAACTCTCATGTTCTCTTCTTTTCCCTCTGTGGTCCCTGACAACAGCATGGAGCCTCTCGGCTGTGCCAAACAGATAAAACAGATTCCTGGAAAGCTGTGCAGCCCTCCATAAATCAGAGAAAGCAAGAGAGAGACTCTCAAAGCACAGATGCATTTTTGCCTGATAACCTGCGCGCGCACACACACACGCGGTATGAGTTCTCATAAAACATCGGCAACAGTGTACAAAAACAACCACAAAACACACCCTCTCATAAAAAAAGAAAAAGCACAACCTCCCATTAAGCATGATTCAAACACACACCCCCCTCATAAAAAAAAAAAAGTCAAAACACAGAGCCATTTAAAAGCACACGCTTTCTCAGACTGAGATGCAGATGTTGTAACAGTGCATACTGAACACTAAGGGGCTTCTTGAGTACTTAAAGGGGTCATATGACGTTGCTAAAAATAACATTATTTTGTGTATTTGGTGTAATGCAATGTGTTTATGCGGTTTAAGGTTCAAAAAACACATTATTTTCCACATACTGTACATTATTGTTTCTCCTCTACGCCCCGCCTTTCTGAAACGCATCGATTTTTACAAAGCTCATCGTTCTGAAAAGCGAGGTGTGCTCTGATTGGCCAGCTATCCAGTGCGTTGTGATTGGCCGAATACCTCAAGCGTGTGACGGAAATGTTACGCCCCTTACCATACTGTGATGCCGTTTGTGCAATGAGACAAAAACAATAAAACCCATTATAAACGAGGAATTTGTTGCATCCAGTGGGGACATAATTACGGATTATAATGACATACTGTCTTTTTACGCGTTGCGTATTGCGCTGTGTAAACATAAAACCACGTCTGCATTTGTGATCAGAGTACCGACAAACAACAAGCACTACTCTACACTGCTCAAAACTCGCGTTTGAATCATCAGTGGCAAATACATTATTTTCCACATACTGTACATTATTGTTTCTCCTCTACGCCCCGCCTTTCTGAAACGCATCGATTTTTACAAAGCTCATCGTTCTGAAAAGCGAGGTGTGCTCTGATTGGCCAGCTATCCAGTGCGTTGTGATTGGCCGAATACCTCAAGCGTGTGACGGAAATGTTACGCCCCTTACCATACTGTGATGCCGTTTGTGCAATGAGACAAAAACAATAAAACCCATTATAAACGAGGAATTTGTTGCATCCAGTGGGGACATAATTACGGATTATAATGACATACTGTCTTTTTACGCGTTGCGTATTGCGCTGTGTAAACATAAAACCACGTCTGCATTTGTGATCAGAGTACCGACAAACAACAAGCACTACTCTACACTGCTCAAAACTCGCGTTTGAATCGTCAGTGGCAAATTCTTTAAATATAAAAACGTACTTACAGGCTGGGAGTCATGAAGCGCTAGACTGTCCTTGCAAAGTTGGAATTGCCCCACTTTATAGAAACAGACACCGTCACTGTAGGCTACTCTCCCAGGAAACCATCCTCGTCCTCCACAAAATGTGCTGCACACATCTGAATATTTGGTTTGAACTGTTCTGGAACAGTGTTGTAAATACAACTTAACCACTGATTTCTAGTGGTGTTCTCTTTTGGAAGGCCAAACAAAGTAGTTTCGCTTTCATAACGAAACACACAGCGCCTTCACGACATGGCGGCGGCGGCAACAATACTACAGAGAGAATCAAAGTTGCGCCTTCTTTCTTTGCCTGAACATTTGGGCGGCGTTATGCAAATCTTTCCACATTGTGACGTAGACATGTGGGGGCATGTTAGAACGAGCCGTTTTAGGTAAGCGTGGTTGACTCTTAACTTTTATAAAGATTATCTCTTTGGATTTGAGACTTTAGTCTTTGCAACTTTACAGATCTTCTTTATGCACCAAGAGCTTGTAATACTCCAAAGAGATAGGAAAAATTTAAAATCGCACCATATGACCCCTTTAAACTGAATCTTAAAACAGTCCTTCTGCTTGTTTGCAATCACAAGAATGAATGCCAATTCAACTCACCCCTACACAATTGCTTGCAATTTTGCATTATCTTTCAAAAAAAAAAAAAAAAACTTCAGGGAGGAAAAAGGAATATGACCTACTTAAAATGCTGTCTTGCAATGAATGCCAGTCTTGAAATATGTCAGTTGCAAATTTAGTTTGTAGCTGTAATTTACAGTTTGCAGCTGTTAACACTGACACAGCTATATGCATTCAGTATTGTCATTTAGTGCTTACTTTGTTAATACTTTGTTAAATGTTTTTGAAGGGAGTCTCTTATGCTCACACCAAAGCTGCATTTATTTGATCTTGAAACTTGATTTGTTTTATACTAAGTTTTCTATTTTGGTATACTTTGCCACGCTGAATTGAGGCAGTAATTAAAGCAAAAGGTGCCCCTACCAAGTATTGAGTACATGTACAGTAAATGAACATACTTTCCAGAAGGCCAACAATTCACTAAAAATGTTTTTTTTATTGGTCTTATGAAGTATTCTAATTTGTTGAGATAGTGAATTGGTGGGTTTTTGTTAAATGTGAGCCAAAATCATCACAATTAAAAGAACCAAAGACTTAAACTACTTCAGTCTATGTGCATTGAATTTATTTAATACACAAGTTTCCCAATTTGAGTTGAATTACTGAAATAAATGAACTTTTCCACGACATTCTAATTTATTGAGATGCACCTGTATGCTTAGACTGAGTGAAAAGTGCATAAGTCAAGAGAATTAATTTTTTTAAATACCTGATTCCTTCGTCGTCGATTCCCAAAATTTCGTCTGACAAGAGTTTTATAGTTCTGACTCTTCTTAGTCAAATAATAGTACAGCACACAATCAGACACACACTGCAGAGAGAGAAAATATAAATACAGCTGTATCACTTGGGCTTGAATTTGAAAAGAAAATACCATAATGCAATGAAAAAACGCTGTCTGTGGGTGGGGAGGTGTGATCGGAGTCAGTAAAGCTGTTACAGCGCTTCAGTTCAAACATCCAGGGACATCCTGGGTGTGACAGCAGTCCACCATACTCAAAGTCACAAAACAGAAAACCCACCTTTCTCTCCAGAAATGAAGCAATGAGCCCAAAGTTTTTGGGATGCTGCACAAACCTGTCACAGAAGAGACAAAGGTGAGAAAAAACTGCAGCACATTTACACTCACTCACTTAACATGCCAAAATAAGCCACTGTTACTCACTTCTCCTTGAAGATCTCCTTCTCGTGTTCGGTCCAGACATTCATGAACTGGCGGGATTTGTAGACCTTCATTGGGTCATCCATCAGACCGTTCATGTTGATAAACTTCACTTTCCGCTGTTCGGAATCGTACATCATGGGAGGAATGACAGACAACTGCCTCATCTGTTTCTCATTGTTCTGAGAGAGACAAAAAGGTGTCCAGGATGATTCTGCAGTGCTTGTTTACATTACTCTAGTCTCAGCCTCCGACAGCACACCCACATGCCGCCCACAGTCCATTCTCTGACCGTCTGATGCATACTGCACACAAACTTGAAACTTACGAATAATCACAAAGCTCCAATCAGATTACTCGGTTGCAACACAACTTCCAGGACTAGGAACAGTTTGTATCAGGCCTCCAGGAAACAAAATTGCACTTTTTCACAGGATTTGCCAAGTAAATGACATCAAATCTTTAGTAGTTTTACATTTACTTTTACACTTTTAGCAGACGCTTTCTCCAAAGCGACTTACAAAAGGCAAGCAAAAGCAATTCGTCAAATAGCCAACAATATTTCTAATATTATAGAATTGCTAGATTCGGAAGCAAGCTAGAAAACAGTAAATGCAGTAATGATAGTAAACTAAAATCCTCAATCAGAATTGTATTACCCGTGTTGTTTTCTTGTCTGTAAAATAATCAGTACTTATTTTTGGACTAATATCAATTATGATCACAAATCTATATACATTGCTGCTAGTTTTTCAGTATTGTTTGGATGAGTGTTTTAAGTGTCTCTTTCAGGTAGGCCTGACATTAAACAAAGCAAAAAGTGTGGTTGGACTCCATTCCCTTATTCATGTCTAAGTGGGTGATTCTTAATTAAAATAAAATGCAAAGTACATCAGATTTTATGCTGCATAATCTGGCTATGTGATGATAAAATGACTGCAATGGCTCACAGGAAAAAATAAAGTCTGATGTATGGGAGAAGGCCGGGCTGCTACCCTCCTGAAGCTCTACAACTCTGGCTATTACATTTTCTGTACTTGGGGTAAAGTTTTTCTATATGGATCAGATTTCAGAGATATTAACCAGTGGTTTACCTCCTGCTCCGAGAGGCCGTCAATGATCTCGGATATCTCGTGTTCACTTCTTGCGATGGTGGCAGACAGGCCTGTCCCCCTCTGGCCCACCCTAAAGACAGGAACGATGAAGCATGGTTAGAGAGTTTGTCTGTTCCTGGCTTTGTTGTCTCCGTACCATGTAACAGCGCTTTCCCAAGCAAGCTACTAGACCAGAGTCCCACCCCGTTTCTTCTCCCACAAAAAGCCTTTGAAGCAGTGGTTACAGCTATTGGCAAGATTCTTCCGGGTCTATTCATGAGCACTGGAGCTCTGAAGACTCTTCCAGCAACAATAGCTACATACTCTGGCTTGTCTAAACAATCAAGACAGACAAACAGCGCTCACTGAAGTTGGATGGTTTGATCTGAATGAACAGAACTACAGACGTTTATGAGGTGAACAAGAAAAACGAATTTAGGGAAAAGTTAAATTGTTTTTTCATTTTACATCTAAGCAAAAGCATTCAAGCAAGAAAAACAAATGATCAAAACAATCCCTTTAGTGTGTTCATTACAAATAAACTGATTATTAAAACTACAAAAGCAGTTTAATCAAGAGCAGTGAGTGATTCCCTCTTTTCTACTGTTTGATTTACATTAATGAGACAGACGGCCTATATATTAAGACCTACTGTACTGCACGGATCTAATATAAATGTTACACATCAGATGTTTTCCCCCAACAGTTCACTTAAAACATAACAGATTACGTTTGCGTGAACAGCCTACTCAAAGGTCCCATATTTTACACCTTTCTGGAGTTTTATTTTAGGTTTTGATGTCCTTAAGAATATATATTTGCGGTATAAGTACCAAAAACCATCTCAATATATTTTTACAGCTCTATATATTTTTACAGCTAATTAATATTCATGAGCCTCTCTTCTGATTGGCCTGTTGTTTTCTGAGTGACGCATGGCCAGGCCAACCACAGGTAACTAGGGTCAGCCGACGTCACAGCGCTAGCTGGAGGCAGCAAAACAAAGGGGAAACTAGAGGCGGCCCATTCAAACCAGCGCAGATTCGGCTACATAAGGAGCTTAAAATATCATCTTGTTGTGATGTTGGGTGCCAGAATCTACGTAATACAGCCTCAAATCAGAAATTTGATCGCATATCTGCTGCCACTGCCAGACAAAAAACAGACGACAGCCGTGGTTAAATGTGATCAAACGAGCAGACTGGACAGAAACGATCATCAAAAATGCTCGTGTTTGCAGCGCACACTTCTTATCAGAAAAGGTTCAATAAAGTATTGTATTTTGTTGTTATGGGCGCGTCTACAGATTTCTTGCCATATGTCTATGTTTCTTGCATCTCATGACTATGTCACGTATGAAATAATGTCTGTGTGAATGTGGATAAAACAACAAACTGACAATTTATATATAATCATTTGTAATTGTATATACATTGTTGTGATTAATTGTGGCTGGAACAATAATGTAGCTGCAAAAATAGTTGCCTGCTGAAATTGAAATGTATATACATCTTCATCATGACTAGATAGACATGGCGAGTTTGTCTTTACTATACACGTTAGATGTGATCCACCTCATAGTAACAATCCTGTCAGATCGTCCATCCTTTGAGTGAGAGTGTAATGTTACAGGTCGGCCGATCTGGTTTCGTGGTTAAAGTTAACCTTTTCGACATGTTTCCGTGTTGTCGTTGCTCAGCATGGACACGATGTTGTCTGGGGGTTTGGCAAAAGGAGAGTGGGACTGAGGGCGGTGCTCGGGGTGGTGACTGTATAGTTCTGACATCAACTTTTTACGGAAGTTACAACGGTTCGTGAAAAATCATAGCTACTTTATGCAGGCTGTGTGAATTTTACTGTGGACTGACTGTTTTGAAACTCATATGGTAGTTACATAGCACCTAGACCTCAGTTATCATGAAAAAAGCCAGGAAATTTCAGTTTTGACAATATGGGACCTTTAAATACTGTAATTCTGTGTATACAGTATATGCATGTACCGGGATCGCGAGCTGGTGGAAGCGCCTTTATGTGCGCGATTCATATGTCAGTCAGCGGCAGTGTGAGAAGTGAGCAGAGAAAAAGGTACTCCTCTCAGAAAGCGTACAAATAAAGATAATTTTAGATGTTTAATTACTATTTGGAGCATTAGGATTGCTAGACGAGGGTTTAATAAAAAATTTTTTGTGAAAACCTGAAATTTTTTTGTCTTTAGCTAAAAATGAGCCTGTGTGCATTCCGACTGATTTTGCCAACACCGGTCACATTTACAGAAAACCAGATGTGTATCAGTATATTTAGTCCATGCAGTCAGTCTTAAAGTGACACCAGCTTAATATACCTGCTGCCGGCTGTGTCCCTAAATGTTACTCAAACAATAAAAGAAAGAGAGAAAAATGTAATAACATTTATGGATTTAATAAGAATCGATGTATATTTAAGGCATACAGAGAAGATTACCAAATATCAGTCTTGAGCTGATTTATTTTTAATTAGTCTCACTCACTCACTGACTGAATCAGTCGGAGCAGTTCAGTTCTTCAATTTTCATCTTATGATTAGGTAAAGAAGTCAAAGGCAGAAAGCAACACCGGCAAAGTCTTGTGCAATAACAAATGTATCTATATCTATAAACGGGCTACTTTGCTTGATAAGGTTTTATCAGCAAAAATAACAGCGTCTGTGCTTCTGGTTAATCAAGGTCAGCGGTATGTGATGTTCTTCTGTTCTGCTTTAGTGGTGTTCCAGAAAGAGTTCCCTGTAATTCAGGGAAGCCCTGTTACACCTGTACCAGGAACTATCACAGATTGACCTCTGACCCTAGCACCCACGGGATCCTCAATGCTGATTGGCCAACTGCTGAGTCAGGACAGAACACAGCGCCTCAAGTGTTTACACAAGATGTTACATCACAACCGTATCAGGGAAACACAATACTGTTAAATGTATTAACAGAGCATTCATTGGGTCATCATAGAAACTGGGGGCCCTGACTGACCTCTGGAAGCGTTCCTGTTGCTCGCGCTGTTTGCGGATCTCAGGAAACTGCCTCTCGTAGTATTCACGTGTGCGGCTTTCCTTGGCTTTACGGCGTGGGTTGTTTTCCATTCGCTCAACTTTTTTCTCCCACTCCGTCATCAGCTCATCATACCGCTGGCAAATTTTCTGTTCCTAAGGTAACAACAGAAAACATTTTAGCAAAGTAAAACTAAATCAGAATTTGACAGTGATTATGAGTAATTATCCAAACAAACAAAAATTAGATTCACTTAAAGGGGTCATATGATGCTGCTAAAAAGAACATTATTTTGTGTATTTGGTGTAATGAAACGTGTTTATGCAGTTTAAGGTTCAAAAAACACATTTTCCACATACTGTACATTATTGTTTCTCCTCTATGCCCCGCCTTTCTGAAACGCGTCGATTTTTACAAAGCTCATCTGTCTGAAAAGCAAGGTGTGCTGTGATTGGCCAGCTATCCAGTGCTTTATGATTGGCCGAATACCTCAAGCGTGTGACGGAAATGTTACGCCCCTTACCATATTGTGATGATGATGCCCGGTCAGGCCAGAGCGATGATTCAAAAACATGAAAACCCATTATAAACTAGGAATTCCTTTGCTTCTAGTGGGGACATAATTATGGATTATAATGACTTATACTGTCTTTTTACGCATGGCGTGTTAGAACGAGCCGTTTTAGGTAGGTGTGGCTGACTCTTTTTTTAACTTTTATAAAGAATATCTCTTTGGATTTGAGACTTTAGTCTTTGCAACTTTACAGATCTTCTTTATGCACCAAGAGCTTGTAACACTCCAAAGAGAAAGGAAAAATTGAAATCGCATCATATGACCCCTTTAATGTTTGTAATGCAATCCAAAAGCAAAAAACTAAACAAAAAACAAAACATTAATACTGAGCAAAGCATGAATTTTACTGATGGGACAACAAGAACTATTTAAATGAACTCCTATTTGCAAATTTATCTGTTTGTTACTTCTCAGTGTGACATATAAACTTGAAAGGACAGACAGAAAGAGACAGACGAAGATACAGTGAGCCAGAAACAGAGAATGAGCGAGAACAAAGAGGTTCAACAAGTGGAGCCTCAATCAAGACCTGCACAGAGAGACAAGTGTGCTTGTGTCTGTACTACGGTACACACAGAACAAAAAAAACTGCTTGTTTTTCCTCTCTCTGAACAGTTAACCTTCCTCTTGGCTTTTGGCCACGTCACCTCTCTGACTGTCCTTGGTCTAGCAGGTCTGACCGACCCGGTCTACTAACAAGCAATTGCACTGAACAATACCTTCCTGAGAACAAACCTATTTATAAAAAAAAGAAGAAAAAACAAATCATTATGCTTCCTTGCAGCTTAAGCAGCTTATTTTTAGCACAGGAGTTAAAGAAAACATTACCACTCAACAGTCCTGAACCAAAAAAAAAAAAAAAGAAAAAGAAAGAGGACAGGCAGAAAGACACACAGAGGGAATTGGCCAATCTTCATAACCATAGGCGATCTATAAGAGGTCCCTAAACAGCTCAGCTTGACAACATTTTTAGTGACAAGACATTTTTTTTTTCAGTCCACAAAAAGATGTAATTGTAACAGGACATAATAACAGCCATTCAGAAGACATGTAATATTTCATATACAGTTATGAGGAGCAGAATTTCTACCGAGCATGATGCCACACAACATGAAACCGGGTTAATGACAAAATGGCTTGAGTATTTAAATTTTTTTCTTCACTGTGTCACATGTAGTTAGGCCACAGATTTAGAGGTATCACAACTGTTATAAAGACACATGAAAACAACCTCTTACCTCTTCTGGCAATGTAAATCCAGACAGATGATAAATTATAAATCACAAGCAAAAATTTGGACTGATATGCAAATGAGGGCTATAGAGATCAATGTGGAACTCCTTATTTGTTTTGTTTTTTAATTAGTCATAAAGTAACATCTCTATACAGCCTAATAAATACCAAGAGCTTGTAACACTCCAAAGAGAAAGGAAAAATTGAAATCGCATCATATGACCCCTTTAATGTTTGTAATGCAATCCAAAAGCAAAAAACTAAACAAAAAACAAAACATTAATACTGAGCAAAGCATGAATTTTACTGATGGGACAACAAGAACTATTTAAATGAACTCCTATTTGCAAATTTATCTGTTTGTTACTTCTCAGTGTGACATATAAACTTGAAAGGACAGACAGAAAGAGACAGACGAAGATACAGTGAGCCAGAAACAGAGAATGAGCGAGAACAAAGAGGTTCAACAAGTGGAGCCTCAATCAAGACCTGCACAGAGAGACAAGTGTGCTTGTGTCTGTACTACGGTACACACAGAACAAAAAAAACTGCTTGTTTTTCCTCTCTCTGAACAGTTAACCTTCCTCTTGGCTTTTGGCCACGTCACCTCTCTGACTGTCCTTGGTCTAGCAGGTCTGACCGACCCGGTCTACTAACAAGCAATTGCACTGAACAATACCTTCCTGAGAACAAACCTATTTATAAAAAAAAGAAGAAAAAACAAATCATTATGCTTCCTTGCAGCTTAAGCAGCTTATTTTTAGCACAGGAGTTAAAGAAAACATTACCACTCAACAGTCCTGAACCAAAAAAAAAAAAAAAGAAAAAGAAAGAGGACAGGCAGAAAGACACACAGAGGGAATTGGCCAATCTTCATAACCATAGGCGATCTATAAGAGGTCCCTAAACAGCTCAGCTTGACAACATTTTTAGTGACAAGACATTTTTTTTTTCAGTCCACAAAAAGATGTAATTGTAACAGGACATAATAACAGCCATTCAGAAGACATGTAATATTTCATATACAGTTATGAGGAGCAGAATTTCTACCGAGCATGATGCCACACAACATGAAACCGGGTTAATGACAAAATGGCTTGAGTATTTAAATTTTTTTCTTCACTGTGTCACATGTAGTTAGGCCACAGATTTAGAGGTATCACAACTGTTATAAAGACACATGAAAACAACCTCTTACCTCTTCTGGCAATGTAAATCCAGACAGATGATAAATTATAAATCACAAGCAAAAATTTGGACTGATATGCAAATGAGGGCTATAGAGATCAATGTGGAACTCCTTATTTGTTTTGTTTTTTAATTAGTCATAAAGTAACATCTCTATACAGCCTAATAAATATTTGCCCCACACATTCACTTAACTTCTCTACTGTAAGCACAAACTAAACGTGATCATAAAGTGCACATAAGCAGATGTGTTTGTATGTGTAAACAAAGGCCATTTATAAAGCACTGTCTACAAGGTCATTAACATAAAATGGTGTGAAAATGCACCTGCAAGTTTGTGTGTTTACTCCATTCTTGAGTTTCCCCACAGATATTCTAGTTTCTCTGTAACTTCAGTCACCTCACCTGATAGAGGAGCACTTACTCAACATGCACTCAAACTCATGCGTTCACTGACACAGCACAGAAAAGAGAAACACTTACCCTCTGTTTGCGTGCATGGTTCCTCCTCTTGAAAAACAGAATCAGTTTCTTTCTCATCATCTGATTCCTGCAACAATAAAAACCAGTCTGTTTACATTCCCTCTCATAAAAGGAGCAAACACTGTACACTGAACAAGATTTCTCTGCTGATACATAACCTGCCCACAGTCAAAAATGGTGAATACAGCCTCTCATTAAGTCCTGCCAACTCCATCAGAAGAGCCGAATTCTCTCTAGTCTCTACTTTCAAAAAAATTACTCAAGATACAATGAGCCCCTGACTCACAAGTTGTTTGTGCGCTTACTTTCTTACCCTTTAAAAACCTTCTCTACCCTTTTACTTTCGTCTCATCTCCAATTCTGTAGAGACACAGACTTTTGCATCTCTCTGTGTAATTCATGTGGCACTTCTCCTGTTACTGTCTCCATAGCATGACTCGCTTTTCTTGCTTTGGATAAAAGTATCTGATAAATGAATGAATATTAATGACTCTTACTCCAGGTTTGATATCATATTATAACATTCAAAGAAACTTAATGCCTTCACACATTTTGTGGATCAGTGATGTGGGCTGTGCACAATGCAGTTTATTTTAGGCTGCTTTTTTATATTTACCTTTTAAAAGTTTGGGGTCAGTAAAATGTTTTAATGTTTCTGAAAGAAGTCTCATTATGCCAAGGCTGCATTTATTGAATTCAAAAATATAGAAAAACCAACAAAACTTGTTAAACAGTACAATTTCCAAAATAACTTGTCTATTTTCATATATATTAAAATGGCATTTATTTCTTGATGGCAAAGTGGAGTTTTCAGCAGACATTCCTTAAGTCTTCAGTGTCGTGTGATCCTTCAGAAGTCATTCTAATATGATGATTTGGTGCTCAAAAAACTTTTATTAATAGAGATCTTTTGTAAGATTATAAATGTCTTTAGCCACTTTTGATCAATTTAATGCATCCTTGCTTAATATTCATTTAATTAAAAATAATTCACTAAAAAGCAGATTTTATGGAGCCCAAATTTTTTGAATAGTAGTCTATGATGGTACTGTTTCTTCTGATTCATGATAATTGAAAGTTTTCCTCCTCACATACACACCCCCTCCTATGCTGTCTGAGTCGACCGGACGCGACACACAAACAGACTGACTGACCTTGACCTGTCTACATACACACAGTAGTTTCACTTTAACCCACATACAATTAGCTGGCGAGTCATTGTTTGCCTCATTTAAATGACTCAGCACACACCATGCCACATCAACTGTCTGTTGACTGCTTAAAGTGTCTGACAGCCAAGATGATGTGGGTGAGAAATGAAAGCTTACATACAAGCACCTCAAAGTTCATGCTGCTTTTTGGAAGAAAAAAAAAAAAGAAAAGTCACGTCCCACTCACTTATAGTTTGCACCAGCCTCCCAAAAAATTCTGGCTTATATTCAAAGCTCCAAGGGAACACATGATCAATGACTAGTCAACACAGAACAAAATTTGAACTAATCATCTAGTCTGTGCAGTCCATTGCTCACACATCTGATTTGTCCAGTCAAAGCCACTATTCGAATTATTTACTGTTAGCTTACAGAGAGCAGATACTCACGTCTTAATGTTGTCATGGTAGACTTTAGTATCAGAGGGCTGGTTGTACAGAGGCTGTGGAGAGACAGAGGAAGTGGCTGCAGATTAGCTAGAAGAGCAAACTCGCACAATCTATTGCATCAGAAAAGAATTTCACACAGCACTCACCAGCTCCACTTTAGGCCCCAACCCTTCCAGTATCTTATGGGCTTCTTCTGCCTTTTTCTGTGGCATGACAGAGACAAAATGTTGGTCAAAGAGACAGATGTATGTCCCTTGTGGTTAGACAGTCTGCCGACACACCACACTAAATGAACGAACTGTGCTCTCATTTGTTGATTTCTAGCTTTGATACAGACAGAATGTGTGAGGCTTTGTGCATTTCAGCAGCAGAAACACAAATTGTTTAAGCTGACAAACAATTTATCACTTGTTTGGAAAACATTTTCTCCTCCAGGGTGAAAGGGAGTAAAAATAAACATGCCAAAAATCACCATTTCCTGAGCTGCAATGTTTTGTCTGGGAAACGCCTCCATTACACAATCCCACAATTCTTTACACTCAAATCTACAATCTGTTTTTGTAACAGTTGCAAGTAGGGGTGCTACGATTGATCGGCTACCAATCACTATCGGCCGATAATGACGTTGGGATGATTGATCGGCGGTCTCTAAAAAGGCCGATCTCAAGCTGATGACGCTGCCGTGAGAGGTTTGGCACAACATGCAGCGGCACGTCTCAGTCTCTGTCCGGCACTCACCTTCATATTTCTTCATTAAATAACTTATAAAGTAATTTGAAAACCTTGTATGAGACGTAATTTCACAAACAACGTGAGTGAAACACCATGCGCTCTCTCTCTCTCTCAAAATACGCAAATGGATTCAAATCACCACACATCGTATCTGTCTATAAGCGAGCTGCACGCTGCACAGTTGACACAGGAATTGTCACTTGCACAGTCAAAGCAGTGTCACATCATCACTAAAGTTGATAAATTGCATTTCTTTTTAATTCTTGCCAGTGTTTAACCATTCAGTGCTCGTGCGCTCTCCTGGAGACCGTACGCTCATGCCCACTCGCAACGCACACACATAATGCCAGGTTCACATTACTCCGTTTGCAGTGCGATTGTGGTGCGTATTTTTTCTGCAAAATACGGCACTAATAGATGGCACTTGTGCGTAGGAAAACAAAGTTCTTTATGAACCGCAGGATTGCTTGTAATAAAGATTTAAATGCAAAAGAAAAGGCAGTAGAGCGGTCTATTTCTGTCAATGGTAAGTTTGTGATAACGTAAGAAAATTTGTTTAAATGTTTTGCCAATTGCTTGAGCAACTTAATATATAAATCTAGAAGTAAATGCAAAAGTAAAAAGCATTGAATAATGTGTTGCTTATATTTATTGTGTTTAAACATGCCTGTGAAAGATTGTATTACTGTAATGTGTAAAAAAAAAAAAAGAATGGCAATGTTGAAAAAGCATTTTCAGGGACAATGTTTGTATTTGAAATAAAAATAATGGATAAATGCACGGATCAGTAGCGGACTCCTGTGTTAAAGCTGCTTCCCCTCTCACAAGAGTCACCGAAATTCAGGCCCTGAATAAATGTCTAAAAATCCTGATTGGAGTATCACTATAAATAGTTATAAATGATAAAAAGGCTTTTAAAAGATCTGTATCGGTGATCGGTATAGGCAGATACTGATTTCTGTGATCGGACTCAAAAACCCTGATCGGAGCACCCCTAGTTACAAGCATGTACCAAATATGTGTTGTCTGTGTGTGTCCCAGACCAGGGTGCTATAGTTTAGCCTCACTTTCCCCATCTGTACATCAGTACAGTACAGTCTCATATGTTATTGTGCTCAGTTAACTTTCCTTCCAAAACAAAACAAACAAAAACCGGCATAAGCACATAATCGCTAAATTTAAGTGTCCCGAGTACACACACAGACACATTATTTTAAAAGAAACAAGGAATAAAGAAAGTGAAATCAATTCATGAGACATTGGGTCTTGGCTGATCAGACGACAATAAACAGGCAGAAATACAAAAAGCCTTCAGCATATCAAGAGGTAGCATACTTCTCTTTAAAGGGGACATTGGGTGAAATATTCACTTGTTTTTTTTTTTTTTGCATTTATTTAGGTTTCATGCATTTCTGCCAGCTCTGCCATGCATTTTCTTTGCAAGCTGAAAAGAAAACACGCAGCCAGTTTGTTATGGGCTGCCTGAGTCTGCGAGCTGTGTCAGTTTACAGTAGATAGCTAGCTGTAAAGTATGTTACAGTCATTTCATGAAGACCCCAAAGAAGCATACCAACTTGTGGAAAATCTGCATCCGATGTCCCCTTTAAAGTTCATACTTTGCCTTGTCTACTATTTAAAGCCATATGCTCTTAAACAGTCACATCACACTCGGTCAACAATAAAATGTCTTAACCGAGTTCAATTAGTCACTGATTATCTTCTCCCAGAGGTGTTCAAAGACTCTCAGGAAACTATTTGCTCACTGCGAATAGTCTAAGCACACTTTAACAACAATTGAACAAAGAGCACACTCTGCTAGCTTTCTGATTGTGAGAAAAAGACATCAGGTGTTAATGGGTTCATACCCGGTTTTCATCATAAATGATCTGGACGATGCTGCGATGTTTGTGTTCCACAGGGGGTGGCGTCACTGGCTTTTCTGGCTCTACTGGCTTTGATGCCTCCTCCTCCAGTTGTTGCTAAGACACAATAAACATGACAATATACCTTAAACCTGAAGTCTGAAACAAGCATATAAACACAGACATACAATAATAATAATGAACATTTTCTGAACATTAAATCATTAAGAATTCACACATTTTGATAGCTCACAAGTTAACTCGCAAAACATATTGCTTTGAAAAGTAAAAACAGACCTTTTTTTAGCACACAAATTGAAGCATCATTCATGTCTTTAGCATAACTGGTGTGGGATGGTGGTTAAAAGTATGAGCAATAATTACAGTGATACATGCCTCAGTAAGCACCACTAATCATAGGGATGAATTACTACAACAGACACAATAAAACCACCTCCCAGATATCAAAGTGATGTGCAGAGGTGTACTATTACATTCATATAAGGTCTCAACAAATTTCCCCTGTGACCTCCCTTCTAAAACTGCAATGCATAATTAAAGTTCTGTTAAAGTGAGACTTTTTTCATCTCCTATACAGGAGTGAACAAACAGGTAAAAGACAAAGATCTTTTAAAGACTATAAAGACCGTGGTATACAATGCAAGATAACTGTTTGTTGTTTATCTGTCACATTTTCACCATCGGGCCAGTAGGGAAAGTACCTTCAACCAGCATGCTAGTATCTCTACAATCAGATATTTAAGAAAAAGAAGATAGTAGACAGAGTGAGGAATGAATGTGTACACTTGCTGCTTATCATGATGCAAGCCTGAAGGATTTGGCATCGCCATCAAAGAGCAAGAACAGTTGGCAAAGAAAGGGAGTTGTGACAAGCTTCTTTCAGAAGGGCAACATTTCCCACAAGGCTTCGTTATTGATAAATACAGAACAAAAATCTGCTTCTAGATGTGAGCACCAGAGTATGGGAGCTTTCCTGTGACATGGGGCTGAATCCTGGGACGTGCGGGGAAAGTGTGAGATGGTCAGCTGTTTTGGTTGTGATTTAAACAAACACATCTTGTCATCACGCAACTAGCAACTAAAACCACCATAAGCTCTTTATTTACAAAATGAACTATAGCTTAGAGCGGTGTTTCCCAACCGGGGTGCCGTCTGTCGAGAGCAGGGGTGCTGTGTAAAAAATCCTTTTTTAATATTTTTAAATTGCTAAAATGTTCAAAAAAGTATCTATTATATAAAACCCATTTCTGATGTCGCCAATAATTAGAGATGCACCGAAATTCCGGCTGCCGAAAATTAGTTCACCGCTCAGGTTCCACTTTCACGTGGTGTGATGCTCTGCATATTATCCCACTCAGTCGTGAGCGCTCCACTCATATACTGTTCATGTCGATCATGATCATCATATCAAAGTTAGAATTTCAAGTATTGTGACAAAATTAATTTTGTAGGGTGCCACAAATTTGTTAAAATTTCCAAAGGGTGCAGAGACAAAAAAAAAGGTTGGGAAACACTGGCTTAGCGCTTAAAACAAGTAGTTCTTGAGCTGTAGCAGTGTTTAAGTCTCTCTCATGCATCTGTGTTTAGTCAGGCTACATACCTGTTTCTTTTTCAGTTTGAAAATCTGCTGCTCGACCTTGGCAATCTCACGGTCAACGCGGTCCATGCTCTGAATCAACTCCTCCTTGGAGAGTTTGGAGGGCGATGTGTCTGCATCCTCACCCACCTGTGGAACTCCACCTGGGGACGAGGTCTCCACCTTCACACTAAACTGGGTTTCCTGTCCCAGAAAACGAGGGAAAAAAGTGAGAGCACAAGAATAAGTACAAGCCTTCAAACAACCCTAAAAATAAAGCAAATACCGGTTTGTTTTATGGAATGAGGAAATATTTAAAACTCTTACATCCACACACACACACGCATACATTTATTACCTTCTTGCCCTCTCCAGTGGTCCTGATGCTGTCCTGTATGGTCTGTGGAGGGGGCAGTATGATGCCGGTGAGCTGAGCTCTTGAAAAGTGTGTTTCAGATACGTTCTCGATGCGGGGACGCTTGGCCTCGAAAATCTCCTGCTCCTGCTGAGCTGGGATGGCATGAAACTGTTGCTCATAACCATGTCTGCGCTCCGTTGGCCTGCAGGATTTGGAAGAGATACTTATAATTACAATTATTATGCTTTAAAAACCTCAGCACCAAACAATATTACTGAAAATAACAAAACCGTACAACCCTAAAAAGGGCAAACCCATAAAGAGACATCAGAAAATTAATTTAATGCTATTTTCCATCTTTTTGGGACTCAAATAAAACAATTTCATGATTTTTTTCTAAACTTGACTCTAATGTTTAATTTTAATGTTTGTATCCCCCAGGATATGCTGCTCCTTTGAGGGTATAAATTCACTGGAAACAGAACACTTGTTTATCAATGCTTGTTACAGCATGGTTGTAATTCCTGAACGCTTTGGAGTACAGAGCTAAGGTTGGTCTCTTTTTAAATAAGACAAATAGCAGATTATTGCTGAAGTGAAAGCATTTTTAAAAAAAGTAATAAAAGTTTAGGTTTACAGTAAAGATAATGTAGTATACTAGGGTTGTGACAGTGAGGAAATTTTCCCACTGGTTAATCGACGTGTGACTAGTGTTGCTTTCGTCAAGGAAAATTATGACTAAATATAGTCGTCAACGAACCTTTATCACGTGACGAAAACGAGACGAGACGAAAATGCTGGTCATGTGACGATGACGATAATTAAATGTACAATGCAATATTGTTGACGAATAAAAACGAGATGAAATGTGGCTTACAAAATAAAAACTATGCTAAAATGTCTCTTCATTTTCGTTGACCAAAACGAGATGAAACGAAATGTTATAACGTTATTTCGTCTCGTTATTATTACTATTTTGCAGTATTTCTGTTTCCTGTGTCTCGCTTCAGGGGCTGCATCAGGTCGCACTGCGCAGACGCAGGCGACGTCACTTCCTCAAGCCCCACTCGCGGAATTATTTAGAACAGTGTTTCCCAACCGGGGTCTGTCGAGAGCAGGGGTGCCGTGTAAAAAATCCTTTTTTTATATTTTTAAATTGCTAAAATGTTCAAAAAAGCAGCTATTATATAATATCCATTTCTAATGCCGCCAATAATTAAGAGATGCACAGAAATTCCGGCTGCCGAAAATGAGTTCACCGCTCAGGATTCACTTGTGTGTGTGTATTATCCATAGACTGTATGGTATTATCCCGCTCTATGCGTGTGTGTATTATCCATAGACTGTATGGTATTATCCCGCTCTATGCGTGCGTGCGTGTGTGTGTGTGTGTGTTATCCCGCTCTATGCGTGTGTGTACTCCACTCAGTCGCTCGCGGCCCATGTGACTGCTCCATTCATATACCGTTCATGCTCATCGGAACAGCAAAGTCCACTCAAAAATCAAGCTGACAGGAAACATGGATGTAGTACAGTATTGTTTCTGTCTGCGATAGCCCTACTGTGTTGTAACAAGGTGTAGTAAATGGGCAACTCTGGTAAGGCTGCCCTCTCATTCATTGATCTGCTAACCGTTATGCTCATGTATCCTCTGATAATAATAGCTTTCTAAGATTAAACATTATTTGGATAATTGGTAAAAAAAATTAAATAAAAAATTCTCTTAATAGCCCTACAAAAATACACTGAGTGAGCAAAACTTTGTTTAATTACCATTATAACTATCTCACAATGTTTACATATGAATAAAAGCCTACATTAAAATCTGTCATATAAATTGGTCTCTTCATTAGAAATTAACCTACTGATTTTTTATAATATTAAAAATATCTGTATGACATTATATTCTGCAGTTCTTCTCTGTTGTACCAAATATCTATACTTTTCAAATTATCA